TTTGGTGGGGTTGGTTTGGGTTTTTTTTTGGTTGGATTTTGTTTTGGTGGTGGGTGTTTTGGGTTTCGTTTTGTGACTATTCCTGTGTGGTGCTATTTTATAAGCAAAGAGTGTGTGGCAAGGATGGAATTTTTGAAAGGGACTGAATATTGCCCTAGCTCTGCTTTCATTCCCTTAAAAGAAGTAGGGTCCTGCTTGAGTCTTTGTGAACTGGCTGTCTAAACTGGGGTTTTATCATATTTACATCTCCAGAAGAAATTTCTTGCTAGAAAGCAAGAAGACATTAAGACTGAAAAATTCATTTTGTTGCTTCTAAAACACAAATATCTTTCAGCAAATACTTGAGGAATTCCTTGTTAGAATAAACTGCAGAAGCCTAACTGTTTATAGTCAAGTTCCTTAAACAACCGTAGATTCTACTGATTGTATGCAGCAATTTAAATAATACGCTTAGCAGCCAGTCTGCGCGTATATAAAAAAACAAGTTTGGGGGTTTTTTCCTGAATAATGTTTGTATCTCATTGTACCTGCTTGCAAGTTGGTCCTGGCTTTTATGAAGTCGTATATATTGTCTCAAGAACTCCAATCTTAAATTTCTATTTGTATCTTCAATTTTTGTTCATCAAACATATTGCTACATTCCTTTGAGACTATGTGGCTACTTTTTAACTGGACTTGAAGTTACAACGCGTCTCTCACAGATACACTTTTTCCTGAGAGGATAGTTCAGGAGCGTGTCTGAATGACAATATGATGTAAAAAAACCTGCTCAGTTCACCTGCTTTTAGCTAGTGGGAGAGAGGCTCTTTCCTGTTCTATTAATTTTTTTTTTATTTTTTTTTCTTGAGGACTGTGTCAACCAAATAAATAAGAATGAAGTATTCATGAAGTCTTTTTTTGATAGTTACAGGTTGGGTTTTTTTTCCCAGTTTGGCTTTCTAGGACAAGAGAAAACACTTGCTTTCTATACGCCTGCCAGAAAGTTGAGGCTTTCTATTTTTAAGTGCTTTCTTTATGTCAGTAATGGAAAAAAAGCACAGAATCCTTTACTTGCAAAAGCATAAAATAGTGTTTATCAGGAAGGGTGCTTTATCTCCTAGTAAGTGCCACACTCGCAATAAGAAACTACCTTTCTGGCTTCATTACATGTACAAGTATGTGGGACAAATTCACTTGTAGCATAATTCTACTGAACTAGATTTTGTTGAGTCTTTCACAGTAGTGTTGTACCTCTAAACTAGAATCTGAAAAATGATTAGGTGTTGATTTCTCTTTCTACTTCTCACTATTTTCTGTGAAGAATGGTGGATAGTTAAATTGGTATAGTTGGTATATTTTCTGTAAGTGTTTACATTTCTGGATTTGTTTCTTAAATATTTTGTTTGTACCTCTGAGTTTTGAAATTTAAATAAATTATTTGTACGTTTATTGAAATTAACTTGTGCTTTGGCCTGACTCTTACAGCTAATAATGTCTTGCAATTGGAGGGCTCTTTTAGAGATAGAAAGTTTAGAAATACAAACCAGTGATGACAAGGTAAGCATTAGCATTCCTCACTTTTTACAGTTTTTTACAGCTTAATGGCCCACTGTTTCAGTGTTGAAGACAGTAAAAGTGTGGAAGAATACTTGAAATTTATACCCAAATTGATCAGTAGAAAATACCACCAAAACTGATATTCGTGATTTGCAGTCCTTTGTTTATGTCAGTGGCCCTATCTTCCATGTTCTTAATTCCCTACTGTGTTTAAATTAAAAGATGTGGCAGTATTCTGTACAGAGCTTTCTAGAAATAGGATTAAGGCTGTGGGCTTATCAAAGGAAATATAATCGCAAAGCATGTTTTTCCCTCTTCTTCTATTTTGGTTTGGTCAGATACCTGATGTGTGTTTAAATGAAGATTAATTGAATGTATTTCAGCTTTAACAAACAGTCCAGCAACTCAGGCATTCTAGGAAAGTTGGGGGTTACTGCAGGACAGTAATTCCAAAATTGAAAAAAAACCAACCCAAAACCAAAAATCCCAACCAACCAACACCTACCCCCCTCAAAAAAAAAAAAAAAAAAAAAAAAAAAAAAAAAAAAACCAAAAACCAAACAACCCCCCCAAAAAACCCCAAAACTTTGTTTTGTTTAACTTTTACTTGACACAGGGAGGTTAGTGGTAGTTTTAACTCTACTATGTGTTTCCACTTCATTATGCCAAAGAAGTTAGCTAGGGTTAGTGAGACTCTTCTTGCTCTTCTGTGGAGATATTTGAAAGACGGAAATAGGCATAGCTAAAGTGTCTTCAGGACTTAAAAGACTAATCTTGGAGTAAAGCCATTAAAGCTGTACTGTTAGGTTTAAATGCTGTAGATTTTTAGGATTAGTAACCATGACACTTCAGGAGATCAGGTTGAAGGTCCCTCTTGTCTCTGTTTCCAATCCATGCTTGTAATAAGATCAGACATTAAAATCTTTAGTTAGAGTTGGAAGATAAAGGGATACATCTAGTGGACAGACCCACTTTTGTTCAAATGGAATTAGTTATTTTTAAATTTATGGGGTGAAATCCTTACATATGTTAGGAGCTGAGTTTCTCTTTTGACTGGTTGAAAACCTCCTTTTAATTCTGTATAAGAGTATAGAACCATAGAATAGTTAGGGTTGGAAAGGACCTTAAGATCATCTAGTTCCATCCCCCCTGCCATGGGCAGGGACACCACACACTAAACTGTATCACCCAAGGCTCTGTCAAACCTGGCCTTGAACATCACCAGGGATGCAGCATTCACAACTTCCTTCGGCAACTGATTCCAGTGCCTCAACGCCCTTACAGTAAAGAACTTCTTCCTTATAACCAATCTAAACTTCCCCTGTTCAAGTTTTAACCTGTTACCCCTTGTCCTATCACTACAGTCCCTAATGAAGAGTCCCTCCCCAGCATCCTTATAGCCCCCCTTCAGATACTGGAAGGCTGCTATGAGGTCTCCACGCAGCCTTCTCCAGGCTGAACAGACACAACTTTCTGAGCCTATCTTCATACGGGAGGTGCTCCAGCCCCTTGATCATCCTCGTGGCCCTCCTCTGGACTTGTTCCAACAGTTCCATGTCCTTTTTATGTTGAGACCACCAGAACTGCACACAGTACTCCCAGTGAGGTCTCACAAAAGCAGAGTAGAAGGTCAGGATCTCTTTCGACCTGCTGGTCACACTCCTTTTGATGCAGCCCAGGATACGTTTGGCTTTTTGGGCTGTGGGCACACACTGAAGCTGGCTCATGTTCATTTCCTCATCAACCAACACCCCCAAGTCCTTTGTGATAGTCTTATCATAACATGTGGATCTGGAAAGGTGTATATGACTGTCGCAAGTCTTGTAATCCAGCATGCTCTCTGGTCTGGGAGCATCAAGACCAATGGAGTGAACATGCCTCCCTGCATAATTGTGCCTGTTGTCCGAGTGGGGACTGCTTCAGGATTTCTCAGAGGATGCTTTCGTGCACAGCCTAGGTTGTTTCTGTTAAAATTTGTGAATGTGAGAGATTTGCAACTGCTCCAGTCTATCCCATTTTTTCCTTGCCAAGATCCTGTTTACCTGATGTCCTGATTTAATCCCAGCTGGTAACTAAGTACTGCACAGCTGCTGCTTACTTTGCCCTGGTGGGACAAGAGAATTGGAAAAGTAAAAGTGAGAAAACTTATGGGTTGAGATCAGGACAGCTTAATAAGTAAAGCAAAAGGCACATACAGAAGCAAAGCAAAACAAGGAATCCACTCCCAACTTCCTATCTGTAGGCAAGGCTTCAGCCATCTTCATAAAAGCAAGGCTCAATCATGCATAACAGGAAACAAACACCATTACACCACATGTCCCCCCTTCCTTCTTCCTCTCCCAGCTCTACATGCTGAGCGTGACACCATATGGTCTGGAATATCCCTTGGATCAGCTGGGGTCAGCTATCCCAGCTGTGTCCCCTCCTGACTCCTTGTGCACTCCCAGCCGCTCGCTAGTGGGCTGAGAGGCAGAAAAAGCCTTGGCTCTGTGCAAGCACTGCTCAGCAGTAATGAAAACATCCCTGTGTTACTAACGTTGTTTTCCAAAACACAGCCCCATACTAGTTACTATGATGAAAATTAACCCAAGCCAAAACCAGCTCAGCTGCTCTTTCTCATAATGTGCAAGACATCAGTAACAAAGGAAAAAATAGAGGAAAATTGTGTTCAGGATGCCCAAATGAAACCAGTTATAACCTCTAACTTCCAACACTCTAGAATTTGTCTGTGAAAACTGAGAAGCCCATGATCATGTAGGATGCCCTGGAAAATGTAAAATATGTGGCACATTGTGTTGAAACTGTTCATGTGTTGAGCTGAAAGCAATAATCCATTACACAAGCCTAAAAAATTCTCAATGTAGGGTTGTGAGGAACAGTCTAGCAGCCAGGGCTGTTTCGTTAGCATTCTGCTGAACTGCATTCAAGCAGCAGACTTTGCGATGTCTCTTCCTGACCATTTTTGTTACACCAGCTGAAGTTCTCCAGTCCCTTGAAAACTTGCAGCGTGTTTCCTGGTGTGGGAAATCTGTGGAAAATAAGCTGAGGGGATTACCAATGCTTGTATGTATAGAGGCTGTGGGACCTGAGAAGAAATAGGACATACTGAGAAATCCTACAGCTTGAACTCTCTTTTCTTCCTTCCATCATTAGCTCCTACAGCCCCTTCAACTTACAATTAAAGGCAAATGCACTTGCTATTAGTAGAACTTGTGTTTTCAAGAACCACTCCACAGCTGTCTTGTAGTGCTGAGCTACCTGGGGTAGACTTCATTTACTTGTCCTCTCTTCATTGTGCCCTTTTGGTATTTTATTCTCTGGCTTTACTCACAGATACTGAGAGTCTCAAGCACATGGAGTAGCTATTCTTTTGCTAGCAGGTGACCTTTCTCACCTGCTTTCTCATATTCATAATTGCCTGTTCCATTCCCTTCTATGGTGTGGCAATGTCCTTTTATTTGGTCTTTTATTGTTCTGCTTATACAGACAGATGGCTTTTAATTCTTGACTGACACTGGTGCCTATTGGACTTCTGTTTTCCATCTCTATCAAGTAATCACCAGTGTAATGTGGGGAAAAGAGGAGGAAAATAGAAGCAAGACCACTTAACTTGTTCAAAATAGGCTGATGGGGATGAGGGCAGGAGAGTAAGCATTTCATATTTTTAATGGCTAAAATATTATGTTCACAGGACTATTTCAGCTGCTCTGTCTCTGTTGCTGATTTTAAGCAAGTCAAGTATTTCTTGCTAAAACTAACATAGAGTCTTTAACCTGTACACATGAAAACAACTGCTAGCAGGTGAAAGTTTTGGAAAGAGGCATTCCCAAACTTACATGGCAAATCCAGTTGCAGGTGACCTGTTATCACATTGAAGGTACCCCTCAGCTCTGGTGCAGCATGCTAAATCCAATGCTGACTACATGCAGCTCTTTGAGCATTTTGAAGCCCTGCCTCTAAGGCAGCTGGCTTTGCCTAAACATTGCTGTTGTGTACCTGTCTCCCTTGCTCGGCTCCTGCAGCTGGCCTGTGGGCCAGCCTCTTCCTCCTTTATAACCTTCTCTCTGTTCCACGCCCGCTTCCTCTCATATTCACTTCAGGCTCAGCAGCTTGTGATCCATGTTCCTGTCAGAGCCTTCTCTCTTGACTGGGGGTGCAGGTGCAGAGTATCATGATGCCACCTGCACTCTGTAGCAGCCTCCCCGCATCCTGGTTTCTTTGGCTTCACCCACTGTCACTCAAAACATTACAGGGACTTCTTTTTCTCTTTTTTATCATTAACTAGTGCCCTCCCAGCGATGAGTGTGTGCTGTTTTAAGGTTTTCCTTCCTCACACAATCACTGTTTTCAGCGCAGTTGAGCACCGCCAGCGCTGCAGAACTCCGCCAGGACCAGGTTCAGGTTCAATCAAGAGTTTCCCCTGCTGGTGCCGGGTCTCTCGGCCGCGGCCTAGCGCTCTGCCCACAGGCCGGGGCTGCGGCCTGGGCGAGGCGGTGGCCGTTAGGGGCGGTGGTTGACAGGGCGGGACCGGGGGGCGGTGCGACGGCGGCAGCCGTTAGTGTCGGGGGTGGGGCTGCAGGCGGGGCAGCAGGGCCGATGGGTACAAGGCCAGTCTCCTCCGCGCCGGGGGAGCAGCAGCTGTTTGGCCCGGGGGACCGGCTGGGGCTGCGGTGAGGGGGCGTGGGGGGCTGGCCGGGGAAGCGGCGCTGTGGAGGAGCAGTAGCGGAGCGGGGGTGTCGCAGGGAGGCCCAGGGGCCTCGGCCGCGGGTACCCGGCTGAGGTGAGGGTTTGGGGGTTGACGGGTGTCCGCTCGGATCCACGTTCCCCGCGGCTGGGCCCGCCCTCACCGGCCCGCTTGCGGGCATTGCTCGGGCTTTCTGTCGGGGGCGGCTGGAGGTGCTTCCTGACCGTGCAGGGGCCGCCCGCCGAGGGGTGCAAGTCGCTGTGGCAGCCAGAGGCCGGCTGGTCCTGGGGCGTGTGCCCGGGCTGCTGCGCGGGGCTGCCCAGCTGAAGCCGAGGTGTGCCGTGGAAGCAAGAGCGTAAGTGCCTCCGAGGCAGTAAAGTACAGCTTTACCATTTACATCGCTGGCGGCAGTGCTTCCTGCTGGCTGTTTTTTGTCTTCTTCCCTTCATCCCTTACTTGCGGACGAGGACCCAGGCAGTGCTCACACTTCGGTGTGGAGCAGCCTTGTTTTCCTGGAGCAGAGCAGCTGCACGGAGCTGCCGCAAAGCCTGAACTCTGGCAAGCGACCGGCGCTGACCTCTGAATATCAGCCCCACTCTCTGGGGAGCAAGGCTGAATTGGGAGAAACAGGGTCGCGAACCCGGTTTTTCTGTGGCTGTGTCTAGCCTAGAAACCTTGTGCCTCAGAGAAATGGGCTCGGCGTCTCCAGTTAGCTGCTTGTATGCCTTAGCGATTTGCGTGACAGCTCTTTGAAGTAGTTGCACTGATACGTGCTTTTGGAATGCTGCTGGCTTAGAGAAGTACCGAGATAAAGACTGGTAAGACTTAACGACTTGGAGAAAAATCCCAACCCCCCAGAAACAGTCCTGAGTATGAGAGAACTTGAATACTGTTCATAAAAATGTCACTGAGCTGGTTTCTGTTTTTAACCTTAGGCAAAAATGTGGTATGTAATAACAGAACATAGCTGAGAGGGGTAATGCTTAGTAATTAATAGAAGAAAACTCAAAGGTATAGGACTGAATTTAAGAGTTATCAATATTCTAGCCAATTTTGGTTTAAAGTATAAATTTTATTAAACTGAGTAAGCGATAGCAGATAAAACAGCGCTGGGTGCGCCGGGGAGCCCTCCGCTCCGCCCAAGACGCGCACACGCGGTCCCTGGGAGGCGGTCCTTTTATCTTCTCCGGTTCAAGGCCCCGGCCAATCCTGTCGCCCCTCCTCACTCGGATGTTGACATGGCTCTTCCCCATTGGTTCCCTTTGTTGCAGGGGTCTCATTACTGAGAAGTTTCGGGAAGTTTCGAGAAGCTGCCAGAGGCTTCGAGAAGCGTCCACTGGCAGCCTCTTCACCGTCGCAGCCCCCTCCCCTCAAGCGTTGCAACAAGACACCACTTCGAGCCACCCAGCCCCCTTTTCTCTCTCACAATCCCGCGCAACAATACAACTGACCTCCCCCCATTACCTACAGAGTACAACAGTTACAGAGTCAAAAGGAGTATTGTTTCACATAACGACAGCCACAGAGAGCCTCCCTTCCCCCAAACTTCTTGATGAACAAACCCCACACATTACAATTCCCCCCTTTTTCTTTTCATCATTTTTGTTCATCAAATCGTTGTAACACATCTTGGTTTAACAGCAATGAATTTTCTTGTTCTACAGGTTCATATTTCGTTCCTATCAGCATTAGGTGAGCTGCTTCGAGTCTACCTCGTGCAGTTTCTAATATTTTATTAAAAATACATGGTCCAAATGTTAATCCCAATATAATTGATATCAGGGGACCTGCTATTGTTGACAGTAAGGTTGTAAGCCAGGAGGACTGACTAAACCAAGATTCATACCAGCTGCGTTGTGCCTCTCGTTCTTTTTTCCAGTCCTTCTCATAATTTGGTCATAGTATCCTGTACCACCCCTGTGTGATCTGTGTATACACAGCACTCTTCCTTAAGTGCTGCACATACCCCTCCCTTGTTGTAAATACATTAAATCTAGTCCTTTTCGGTTTTGTAAGACCACTTCTGACAGCGATCTAATGGGCTTTTCTAAGGCCGTTATTGATTAATTCTTACCAGGTCTTCGTCTACTGCTATCCTCAGTGCTTTAAATTCTTGGCTTTGTTGTATCAATGAGGTTACTCCTGTGCCTACTCCCACGCCCCCCAAGATCATTAAAGTGGCTATTGTTAATGCCATGATTGGCTCTTGTTTAGTCAGGTGGTGTCCCTGAGTAATGTATGCATTAAATAAAGTTCTCAGGGTGGTAAAAATTTTAGGGACTATTGTTACTTGAATACAAAAGTCTGAGGATTCATTAAAAAGTTTTAATGACAGGCAAGGTGTAACTCCTATAGCGGAGCAAACCCACTTGGTGTTATCAGCTGGTACTAACCATTTTGCAGGTTTCTCGGGTCTTTTTGACCCTATTTTATCAGTATTGGCACATAACCTCTTTTTGTGTTCTGGAATTCTACCTATACACAGGCCTTTTCCCATCACTTGGGTTAAGGTGATTCCTGGTTCTTCTGTGTCCCACATACACTGTGCCAGATTAGTACCATTTAGGTGTTTAGGTTTCTTAGTTACTCCAACAGCCTCATAGAAGGGTGGTTTCACCCCATAACACAACCAACAGTGTTCTGTAAGATTTGGATTGGTTTTGTTCAACACCAAGTAACTAGCATGCATTAACTTCCAAAGGGGATTAATTTCAGGGGTTTCATCAGGGGTTGGGTTATTCCCAAGGGTTTCATCAGGAGTTTGGGTGACTCGAGTAATCTTAATTTCTGAAGTTATCGTTATATTGTCTATTTTAGGAATTCTTGTTGTACTATCCATTGTTCCTTCAGTCAAATCATCGGTTAGTATCTGGTTAGGGCCTACCGGCAGTGGATCATTTGGGACCACTTCCTTTTTTATGAGAATTAAACTGCCCTTATCTGTCCCTGGTTCCGTATACCTCACTCCCCACACTCTTCCAATTATCCATCCTACGTCTTCAGGGCTGGTGACATTTAAGAAGAGGTATTTGCAGTTTCCACATCCTCCCCACCCCTGTAGTGGTCTGCACCCATATGGACCCCACTGAACCTTTAGGTACCTGTCTATACCACTACCTGGTATCCAACCAGGGGCTATAGTCTCACAACCCCAATAACTGCAGTAATATTGATTACGGTAGTTACAATATCCCTTTCCAGGATTTGAACTAGGGCACATATAGAATCCCAGGTATTCCCAGCATTGGGGTCTCGGGACAAGCTGACATAGGGTAGCATTAAAGCTTGGTTCTCCCGGTGTTATTTGGGTTGCGATAACCGGAGTAAGGTCCACTTAAACAGTTGGTGAGGTTGGTAGTTCATTCCCTTAGCCCGTGTTTGTGGTATACATATTATAAATAGAATAAGCAGTATGTCTAGGATGTGCCAAAAAGGGTGGAATCTTTTCCATTTTTTTTTTGTTGTTAATAGTTTTGGATCAATTATATCAATATTATCCCTCCAATTAGAACCTTGGATGTACTTTTTATACGGGACTTTCAAGTCCCTGTGGGCATTGAGGCGGTTCTTCCAGTACTCCCGTATAGCTCTAATGACAAGAGTCAGTTCTCCACAGTATTTTACCTCTCTACCTCACTCGTCGACTCGGTTGCTTCGAGCCACGAGGGATAACATCTTCTCGGTAGCAGGGGTAGTCTTCAGGAGAGGGAGTGCTTTTTCGGGTGTTTGCCTCCGTTTATACAGTTCCCTTACCTGGTTCCTTTTGGACTAATATTTTAATATATTCAATTTATATATATAACTTAACATATTCGATTACCACCGTTCTTGGCACTCTTACAGACAACCGATTTCACACCGATCTCAAAATGTTATTATTGTTATTACATATCCCAGTCCCCTTTATGTCCATTTAAACCTTCTTGAGGGTGACTTTCAGATCTCCAGGTGGGCTCACAACTT